TCCATATGTAAAGATCATCAAGGGGTCCTTTTACAATAATATACGTAATAATTTTGAGAATATGCGAGAAAGTTTGAGAATAAAAGTCCATGGATCTTCGCTGGCAATTTTAATTTGCTGATCCAGATTTACTAAATTATCCTGTATTAACATGCATATACGCTTGAGCATAAAAAATTAGTATGTACGGTCTAAAAATTATTACCAATCACCACGAGAAAAATATTTGACTACATTGCTCGGGTCACTTAGTGCCCTAAACGTTTTTTATTCGCAATACATTGAGCTAAGATAAATTACATGGTGTGGGACTAGCTTTGGGTATATGATGTCATTCTATGATTGTAGACTATTATTATACACGATTATTTTTTCGAACGATATTAGCTTTTTTTCTTTGAGGCAAAGTTCTAGACGTAGTCCATGATACATGCTATATCATATGCACACTTCCAACGGGATCTACCGGTTAATCATATGATAAATGTTAATTTCAATGAAAAATCTCGGCAAGAATTTTCCCGATATCAATTGCACACATGATGAAGTTTCTTTTCCCAAGTGATTCGAAAAAAATAAACTTATAAGATAATCCAGTACTAAAGTATGTGATAATTCTCCTAGGCGGTCACCGAAGAGATAATAGGACTCATCATTGGTGAGACTTTCCTTTCATATCTTCCGTCACGATAATAATAACCTCTATCATATTCACCATATTCATTATATCCACCGTAACCATTATATCCATCATCATCCGAATCGTCTGGCATCTCTTCTTCAGAATCGTTGTTGTGACTACAGTCATTATCATCGTTCGTTTCTTCCACTGGATGGGATGCGGAATCATGATCGACTTCCTTATCAAAATATACATCATCGTTTGACTGGACCCTGGGGGACCCCTTAACTTCGTTCACCTCTTCTTTTTCTACCCTAGCTTTGTTCTCATATGGTGTACCCCAATAAGCAGTCTCATCGTCAAAATCCCCTGTGAGTGTTTTTATATAATCCTCCAAATCGGCTGATAATGATGAATTTTCTTCAGGCAAGAATTTTTCGCTAGTCTCAAGATTTTCGGCTGAAATTTTAGGAGTTGGAAAATCGTCTTGCTCTGCAGAATTATTCCACCTCTCTGAGGCCTCTATGATCTCTTAAATTTGATCGTTAGTCAACTCTGAAATGGAATTGGGACTATATGTACTAAGATACTTAATTTTATCTATACCTATTTTCTCGAATATTCTAACAAGCTTCATAGACCTTTGAGTCCTTCTAGTTAGAGAACTACAGGAGATTTTTGGAAGCTGTATACCCATTTCTTTTGATCTCTTCTCACGAATGGTAACAAGGTGTTCTAACATCTCATCATAAATTATACCTTTTGCTTTTTTTTCTCCGATTTTGCCATTGCTATTTTCCACGAGTTCACTAAAGTGAACCATGAATTCTTTTCCAAAGTTAACCCAGCATAAAATTTCTTCCTCGTTGGCTTTTTTAATGCAATATTCAGCATTTGATGCTTTATCAAATAGCTTTGCTAAATCGAGCAGAGATGAAGAGCATTCTGGGCAACGGGCCGTCGCTGAAATTTCAATCTCATGAAATAGTTCACGGAGTGAACAACCAGAGGAAATTGGCTCTTGATGTTTTACATCATCCTGAATTCCGTCAATTATCACTTGGGCAATTTTCTCAACACCTTTTTTCTTATGACTGTTTTGATAAGATTGCTTCACAACCTCCTGTTCTGAAGATGCCACGCTTTCAGCATAAAGCTTCTTTTCCTTATTACGTTGCTTTATTTCACTACTAATGATTTTCTTATGAGCCTCAAGCAAAAAACTATCCATATCTTTCTCTTCCAACAATTTGCCATTAAGACGCTTTGCAGAGTTAGTAGGTACTGTTATAGCCTCTGGTACTGCAACTGAATTGAAGCTAAGTGAACTGTTGTTAGAAGAATTATCATTTGCCATTAAGGTGCTTTGTAGAGTCTGCTTCTGTTCTACTTTTGTGATTCTATCTCCTAATTCAGATTCCATCTCCTCGATTCTAGCCCTGAGTTTGACATTTTCAGCATCACGCCTCTCGTTATATTCCTTATTTGCTCTTAGAAACTCAGCATTCTTACGTTTAAGTTCAACTATTTCAGCATCAGACACTGAGAGCTTGATTCTAAGATCGCAGATCTCAGTATTCTCCTTCCTAAGCTCTACATTCTCAGCCTCAAGTTTGTCGTTCTTAGCTTCAAGTTCAGTGATACGCTGTTTCAATAATTCAAGCTCGGATGACATGATCTATAATATATAAAACTAATACACTGT